CAAGGTGTTGTAACGTCGGGTTGCGTTTAGTGGTTGAGAGGAGGCGGCAAAACACTTAGCAGGGTAGCCAAAAAAATACACACTCACGCTGGCGTTGGGAATTCCACAGTGTGTTCTTTAATAAACCTTCTCTTCATCAACCATATAAGCCCGGTTGAACGGCTGCAGCTTAACAAACATAGCGCACAGTGTTCGTACAACCCATAATGTTGCAAACAAAGGTGTCTGGAGAGGTAAAACATAAAATCCGTCCCTCCTCATGCACTAACGTGCAAGCACATGTCCACACAATCACAGAGAGAGAGAGAGAGAGCAGTGGCACAAACTGATGACACCATCAACCCTCGACTTGGGTGTCTTAATGGGACACCACACCATAGTGGCTGTTACAGTGTAAGTCACTCATAAGCCTCAAGAACAGATAGGATAGATTGGACATAATACAGATGGACACTGACCCAAAGCAACCCAGGAGTTTATGAAAGCAAAGAAGCAGAATATTCTTGAATGACCAAGTCAGTTATCCCAACTGAGCATATCACTTGTTGAAGACTAAACCTTGGACAGAAAGGCCCACAAACACACAGGAGCTGAAAGCCGCTGCAGTAAAGGCTGGCAGAGCATTAAAAGAAGGAAACCCGGCGTCTGGTGATGTCCATGAGTTCAAGACTTCAGGCTGTCATCAAACCCAGCAAAGGGTTTTCAACCAACATTAGAAATGAACCTTTTTTTTTGGTTATTTAATTTGTCCGATTACTTTGAGCCCTTGAAATGAAGGGATTGTGTTAAAAATATTTTGTTCCTCAAATTATTATGCAATCTTTTTCTAAAGCTGAGAGTCTGCACTTCATCTGCATCGTTTCATATCAGTTGTTGATTTGAGTAAATGGCCTGTATTTGTATAGCGCTTTACACTACATTCAGTCATCCACCCATTCAGACACTGGTGATGGCAAGCTACATTGTAGCCACAGCTGCCCTGGGACACACTGACAGGCGAGGCTGCCGGACACTGGTGCCACCAGGCCCTCTGACCACCACCAGTAGGTAACGGATGAAGTGTCTTGCCCAAGGACACAACAACCGAGACTGTCAGAGCCGGGGCTCGAACTGGCAACCTTCCAATTACAAGACAAACTGCCAACTCTTCAGCCGCGATCGCCCTGGGATCGTAGGGAGCACATCTAGTCTTATAAGTGCAACTAATTTGAAGATAAGTTTTAGGACTTTAAAATGTGTTAGGCCAGTTCAAACATGTCTCTTCTTCCAGTGTCTAAGTGTGTCTGTATCACAGTGCAAAGTTGCAGTTAATATTTATCAGTGCAATGTAGTTTTAGTCATAAAGTGTATCTGGCAGTTCTTCTAGGCTTTTAATAGATGGGCAAGTCAGCCTTTTTATCTAGTTTCATTTCTGGTCTGAAAATATCACCCATTAGCACTTTTTCTCTTCCTCTTCGCAAACGCTTTTATAGCTGTATCATATATAAAAGCGAACTGTGGGCTGTGACAACAGGAGCTATCATTACTAGTCCTGTACTGGGCCTATAGAAGTCTCATTATCCACTGAGCATGTGTTGTGTGTTGGATCTGCGCTTCAGCAGACCCGCTAGTTCAGAGACTCATCACTCAAGAAGAAAGCAAGACAACGACGGAACCGGCGGAACACAATATGCTTACAACTGTTTAACCACATTTCCTGGTTATCCAAAGGTCATCTCCCCACACGCATATACGGCTTAACTCTAATGGTTCACCATGTGCAAGCATACGCGAGCCCCTAAATGCCAGGGGGTGGACATCCCTCAGAAGACGAGGAACCCAGACTCTCACATGGGATGTGCCTGCAGTTAAACAGCTGCAGCTAATTATCTCCCCCAGAATTATAGATGTGTAGGCGAGGAACAGATGAATATCTAATCATGCAGTTTAAGTCACGGTTTACATATTTAAGAACAACAATGACAAAATTTAACAATTTATTCTGACATTGTGGAATTTTGTAAATAAAGTATGCAACACGTGCAGGGGAGCCAACACACACTAAACATCACAGTTCACAGTCTCAGCTCCTCTTGTATTGGTTAAAGTTTAGACTTGAGGTCAGAATCACTCTTTATAGTGAGTTTGTCGTGTGTGTTGATGTTTCAGTTCACTCCACAGTTTCTCTTTTTCTGATCATAATCAGCATGTTGTGAAAAACCACACGTGTGCATATCGCACAAACATATTGCAGCTTCACAGCAGATGTGTGTCACTTCTTTTCAGACCTATCACTGGGAACCTATCATGTTCATCCACTGTAACCTGGCAACACTGATATTTGTGCTGACCCTTGATCGTCATGGTAAGTTACATTTTCTGCAGTTTTACTTTACTGAATATAATGATAATATAGCAAATTATGTATGTATATTTCCAGTTTATACAATCCTTGGAGGCCATGAGGCTGTGCCACATAGCAGACCATACATGGTGCTTTTGCAGAGGCACATGTCAGATGGTCGAAAGAAATACTGTGCTGGCTTCCTTCTCAATGAGGATTTTGTGATGACTGCTGCCACCTGCCAAGCCGAGTGAGTTTAAGTAACTTCATGTTCTTCTATGATGTTTTTCTAGACTGATGCACTGAAAATTTAAATGCTTCTGTAAATAGTTTCTGTAGGTGCAGGAGTTCTACATTCTCACAGAAACACTAATCATTGTGTTCTTAGATGATTATTTCACATAATTTTGTGTCATTTCAGGTCTTACACTGCCTTACTAGGAGTTCACAATGTGAATAGTAATAGCGAAATACAGCGCATATCTGTGGAACAACCATTTCCACATAAATACTTCAACACAACCTCTTTTATAAATGATGTAATGCTTCTGAAGGTAAGAGTATCCCTGCACAGAAAGTACAATTTAATGAAAATATTGAGTCCCACATTATTATTTTTAAATGCTCCCTTGAAGTCGAGTTTGAAAAAAAGGTTCAGTTTACATTTTTTATTTTACTTTGTTTGTTTTATTTGTTTTTCCCCTCCAGTTGAGCTCCAAGGCAAAGTTCAGTGAGAATGTGAAGCCTATTCCTCTGGCGAGTCATGATGATGGTACTTTGCCAAAATCATG